TCCTAGAAAACAGGCTGGATTTAAAGGTTCCTGTGGTAATAGTTTATAAGCAAAATGCATTTTCCAGTCTTAAAGTGACTGACTGAATGCTCATCTACCGGAAAAACAAAAAAAGGTTTTTATCCATTTTGTTCTAGATATGAGGAGCTGCAGATAGCAGAAGTCATTCTCCTGGGCTCTACTAGTCTTTGTTTCAATAAACCTCCCACAAAACTGAATTCTCAGTCTTGCTTGTCTTCCACTCTGAGTACTTGAAGTATGACCACCACTCATTAGAAACATAATTAAAAAGACACAACACTAGATCCCCACCCCCCATCACATTCAGATGAAAACCAATAACCCTTAATCTATTTGTTACCATGGCTACCATAGGATATTTTATTTCAGTAAAACTCTAGGTATTTCGTTTGGGTTGCTGCTTGCAAATGAAAGTTGGAGACCTATAAATTTCCATAACCGCACTAGAAATAGAGAGACCGAGAAGAAAATGTTTTTCTTAATCATAGGCAAATATGGTTTATAAGCTGTTTGTGCAGAAAAGTTATTAAAATTGGTTAGATGCATCAGCCCATAAACCAATTTAATGCCATTAAATTCATATAGAGTTTAAAGGCACACGTGCTAGTAATTCCCTGATTTATAGCAGGGTGATAAATCAAGTACACTACAGCACAATGTATGGGACGGAGACTATTCATCAGTAGCACACAGCTCCATACCTGTATAAACACCTAGATTACGGACTAATCAAACACATGCATGCCAACCAGCCTTTAAAGTATTCACCAGTGCTTACTGGACATGTTTTCTCTAAGTGTCAGAATGAACAATCTATAAAATTGTTCATTCTCCTCCCTCACAAAAAAATTAAAAAGCTCTATACCTTCAATAATAATAATAATAATAAATCAGGAATAAGGTGAGACAAGTCTGCTGTCATTCATCTGAAAATGAAGCAATTCCTCAAATCTGACCTCCCAGGGCTGAGTTAGTGATAAGATCACACGGCGAAGAAGAAACTCTGTAGTGACTAGACAGATGGCTTTAAAGAGACTGAAACTAGGATAAATACAGCCGTAACCAGGACAGATCTGTCATCGCAAGAGGAGTCCGAATCCCAGCTTTGCTGGACTGGAGAGAGGCTGGAACCTGCAGCAGCGGGGCCGGGATGCCGCTGAGCTGCCGAAGTGGAAGTTTCGCGGGCAGCGGCAGCTGGGCGTCCTCTACGGTCTGGTCCCTCCAGCGCCGAGGTCTCGCCTAATGCTACATAAATACCTGCGTCCACGATTCGCCCGGGGCGCGCCGCGGCGCAAGCACGGGAGGGAGGGAGGAGAACGTTTGCAGAGCGGCAGGGATGGCAGCGGCGGCGGCGGCAGCTCCTCACCCATCAGTATCCCTGGGGGCCCGCGCGAGGGCCCGCCAACGGACCGCGTCTGCCGCTCGGTTCCAGAGCCCGGGGACGACAACTGGCTTCTCAGCGGGCGGACCCAGGCATCCGAGACTCGCGCATGGCCGCCACCCCCTCCTCCGAGACGGCTGGCCGCAGGCAGGCAGCGCGTCCCCGCCTTCCCCAGCCAACACAGAGGCGACCTGCCCTGGGAGCCGCCTCCGACCTACTCCGGCTCCAAGCACAGCGCTCCGGCCCGGGGCTAGCACGTCCCTCCCTCGGGGCCCGGGGCCGACGCTGTCCAGCGCGGGCACCCGCACGGCGACCGCAGATAACCCTCGCGCTCTCAGCCCGCTCCAGGCCACGGAGACCGGGACGCGAGCCCTGGGCCCCCCACCCCCGGCCCCACGCGGCCACTGGGGCGCGCGTTCACACTCCCACACTACACATCTCCAGGTCCACCCTGTCCCACACATCAACAACCCCTCCCCACCGACACCACCTCCTGGCTCCTTTGCCATCCCCGTGAGCTCTCCTTTCCGCGTCCCCCCACAACACGCTGGCACCCACAAGATGTCAAGGGAAGAGTGTGTGTGTGTGTGTGTGTGTGTGTCTGTGTGTCGGGGAGGGGGGTCACAACAAGGTCTGTGCGGTTCCCTCCCGACGGTTTTCGAGCTCCTCTACCTCGAAAGTTACTTGGGATTGAGTAAAGAGACCCTGTCCCCAAATGCGGGATCAGAGGACGCGAGGGGCAGAAAACCCCAACCTGGCTTCTCGCTGCACAGAGGCGCGCACATCCCCAAAGGGCAGTGCGCGCGGCCGCCCCTGGGGGCCAGCCCTCTGGCGCCTCCAGGCCCCCTGCCCGGCCGGGGCCCTGGGCCGCTCAGGGGAACGTGGCCTGGAGAGGGGCGCGCGCCGCCGGGCCCAGAAGGGGGGCTGCTCCGGCCAGGGGTCACAATCGCCTCCAGCACCTCCGACCACCGTGACAGTGTCCCCAGGCAGCCCCAGTGCATACACACCCGGGGGCAGGAAGTTTTTATCCCCCCCTCCTTTTTTTCCCCCTGGAGCAGCGCAGGCGCAAGGGCTCCTGCAGCCTGCGAGTCCAGACGCGGGAGGCTCCTGTCTCCGCCGCCGCCGCCGCCGGAGCCGAGCCCAGCGTTCCGGGTTCCGGCCCCGCTCCCACGCCCGGCCCGGCCCGGCCCCGCGCGGCGGCCAGGACCTGGGTCTCCCTTCAGCGCCGCATCCGAGGCGCTCCCGCCCGGCCCGGCTCTTACCTCCGGCCGCGCGGCTCCGGCCCCGGCCCGACGCGCAGAGAGCCCGGGGTCGCGGGTGGGCGCAGGAGGGCTGATGGAGAGCGGACGGCGCCGGCGAGTAGCGGTGGCTGGGGCCGCTCGGGTCCTGGCCGGAGGAAACGGATCCAGGTCCTCCTCCTCGCGTTCCTGCTCTCCGCCTTCTCCCCTCGTTCTTCCTCCTCCTCCTCCGCCGCCGCCGCCTCCCGGCAGCCCAGGGAGGATGCCCGGGAGAGGGAAGTCGGTCCTCCTGCCTGTCAGCCTGTGCGGCTATGCGCGGTGCGGCGCGGCTCTCATCGAGGCGGCGGCGGCGGCGGCGGCTCCGGCAGCATCGCCCCCGCCCTCTCCCCGCAGCCGCGGCGGCCGCGGGGTTGGGGCTGGCTCCGGGCTCGCGGCTCGGGCTCCGGGCGGGGGCTGCGCTCAGGCGCGGCGACCGCCGGGGCTGCGGACGGGCGCTGCGGAGCCGGGGCTGGGGCTGGAGCTGCGGCGAGATCCGCGGTGGCGGGGACGGCGGCGGCGGCGCGGGGGCTGGCGCGGCCGCGGCGCGGGGACCATGCTCCCTTCTGGCTCGCTCCGCTCCGGGTACCGTCTGCTTTAGCTGCGAGGGAGGCGGGCTTCGGCGCGCAGCCAGGGGCGGGCGGAGCCAATCACGGGCGCCCGAGTGGGCGGGGGTGGCGGGTGGGGGAGGCGGGGCCCCCCGGCCCGGCCCGGCCCGGCCCGGCCCGGTGCGCAGCTCCCCGGGCCGGAGGGATCCCTGGCCGCGGCGCGCCCGGCCCGGAGCGGAGTGCTCGCGGGTGCATCTGTCGTTCCGTCCGTCCGCCGCCCCCGCCCCCCGCGGTGGCCCCCGGTTCGCCTGGCTCCGCGGCCGCGCCCGGCAGACGCACGGCGCGTGGCACGGGCTTCTCCGCCGCTGCCTCCCGGCCCTGCCGGCTCAGGGTTGGGGGACCGGGACCGAGGCGAGCTCCCCGTCTGCTCTCAACACCTGAGGAAACTGGCGGAAAAGTTTGAGAAGGAAAAGTCCTATCGTCTTTCAGCTTCCGACCTCCTTATAACACTCCAACCTTGGAAAGAAGCAGGAATTGCCCACCCCTCTGAAGGACCAGGGAGAGTCCTGCAAATCGTGTCCACCAGCCTTCTGAGTCAGCCCTGCCTCTCCTCGAGGAGCGCGAACTTTTCTGTTCATACTGACCCTTAGGAATTCCTGAAGCCTTCTCTGTTTAACAGCCTGACCAGCCTTTGATGTCTACACTGACTACCCACCCCCCCCCCCCCCACAGCTCGCTGGCTCTCACACTGTCTACACTGATTTCTCAGTCCCACCCCTTGTCGGTCTACACGTGCTGTCTACACGGACCCTAACTTCTAACCCTAATAGAAGAGATTTGGCCGGAGGCGTGTGGGACCCCCAATGAGGGCTTTTCCCTTATGCTAGAATATTCCACTCTGGGCACAATCTTCCCCACCCCTGACTGCTCTCCGGGTCTGGTTTTTATTCCCCAACCTCTCCCTCCTCGCCTACCTCCCCTTTACCTGGTTTTGAGTTTCAGAGGAATTATCTGTATTCGCCCTCCTCCTCCACCCCTGCCTGAATGTAAAGGCCTGAGGGCCTTATCCTTATCCTCCACCCTCCCTCTGCTTCCCCAGGTAAAGGCCTGAGGCCTTGCTAGAAATTCGGGAGAGAGTGCGGTAGGTAGTGTGGGGAGCTGGCTATGGAGGCCCAGCTGGGAGGAGCTGGCCTGGGGAGGGCTTTGCCAGTCGCTGCCCCCCATCTGCCAGGGCCAGGGAGGACTGCGCCGGTAAATCCCTTCCTCACAGCTCCCCCCTGTGATGTCTGATCCAGGCCTCTGCTCTCCTGGGCTGTAAACTCAGCGCACGGATTGTGTCTTCTTTAATATCTGTAGGAAGCAGAGTACAGTGTCGTGGCTGATAAATAATAAATAATAATAATCTATTGAGGGTAGCAGGAGCACTGTCAGAAACGGAATGAGGACGCCGGGGAAACGGCCCACTGGTGTCAGAATAACTGAATTTCCTGGAAAAAACATCCAACAAAGTTTGTGTGTGTGAAGCCGGGGACTCAGGGGAGGGGGCAGAGCGGAGCACTTCAGGGAGGAAACCACCCTTCATGAGGAGGACAGCCAGGAAAACTGGCGTGTCCTTAAGAGAGCGTGACAGAGGTGCCGAAGAGGGGAGCAGGAGTGGGAGGAGGAGGAGAAAAACTCCCCAAGGGTCCTCAGACAACACCTGAAGGTGATTGATAGCTTTGGCTTGAGTACTATGTTCTTAAAATGGTGAATGAAAAGTGATAGAAGACTACCAGATAGCAAAATGGAAAAAAGAGGGATTTCTTGGGATTTCAAATTGATACACAGGTCAACTCAACGCAAAAAGAAGGAGAACAAAGCCAGAGGCGTGTATCTGTTCCTCCACGCTGTAGGAAGCTGTCCTCTGAGATAATCTCCATGGATCCACTGACTGAACATACAAAAGCCTGCCCAGCCGCGTTCTGGAGTAGCGCCCTATGAGACAGCTGTAGGCACTACAGAAATGTGGCCAAGGTTTGCAGGGTCTGGGATAGGTTAAGATCTGGCAATGTGAGGCACTCACAGTGTCTTACAGATGATTTTGAACGATCCTCAATTGGAAGAAGAAAACAGGCACTCCAAGAATCCTTCTTCAGCTCCCTCTCCAGATGAAGGAGAAAGGATGCTCCCAGTTTCCCTGCTGGCAGGATCAGAAAAGAGAGCTGTGTTGAGTTCTCATCCAGAGGAGGACTGCCTCGGGCCGTGGTGGTGCGAAGGGTGCTGGTTCTGGAGCACCGTAAAGTCTTCAGGGCTGGAGTTTGGTAACAGCTCACCAAGGGAGCCAGCTTGTCAGGGAGAATGAGAAAAGCTGTGTGAATTAGACTCCCAGTGGGCTTATCTACCCTGTCCTCACCCATCCTCGTTTTATCCCTCAGAGCCTGAATGCAAATAAGGATTTCCAGAGTTAGATACCAAGGCCTTCCTCGTCATTAATGCTCTGCCCAGCTGCCCTGCTGGGAGCTGTTTAGTGTGGACACAGTCATTTATGAAGGGTCTGCGCTGGTCTGCACATGAGCTCCGTTTCAGAGTGCTGTCGTTCACGTGATCTGTCCCAGCGCATCTAGTGTCTTGGCAACATAAACTGGATTTGCATTGTGTCAGGGGTCTCCTCTGTCTCTCTCTCTCTACATAGATCTTGCTGGAGTCTGGGATCTTTTCTGGGTCATTCTTTGCTTTGCTCTGTGGCCCATGGGATGGGCCCCGTGATTGGCATGGATCTCTCTGTGTGGTTCATAGGACTCGTGTGTTGTGCCCAGGAACCTCTTCCACCATGGTCAGAGATTTCTGCATGAAGCACAGGATCAATTCAGTGGTGTGTACTCCAAAAGCCAACCCTCCCTGTCCTGAGCCCCAAGCTGGGCACTGGGATCAGGGCTAATGTGTACACTCCAAGCAGACGGGTAGTGAAGGAGCAGACTCATAGTGCATAGGGAAGTGGACTGGAACACTCCAGAACATCCATTCCCCACTCAGATCACAGACCATTATCTGTGCAGTCCATCAGACAAGGACTTGTGCTGCAAAGGCCACTGTCACCTAAGGAAGAACCAGAGGAAGTCACATCAGGATCACCTGGGGCGCCACATGAACCCACAGTGGCCAAGGTGGACTTCTGTCCTTATCTGTGTTTATAGTAATAGCCACAACAAAAGGACCTTTACCCAGTGGCTACTATGTGTCAGCACTGTGCCAAGAACTCTACCCATGATATCCTGATAATCCTCACAGCAACCTGTGGAATCGGTATTATCAGCCCCAAAACTGAGTTCCAGAGAGGTAGGTGATGAATGATGAACCGAGTTCACCGGAGGGTAGATGAGCACCTGCAATCACACAGTAAGTGACAGTGCTGGAATTTGAGCCCGGTTGTCCCAAAGCCTCTGTTCTTTTTACCACACCAAACACACAAAGGCAGTTTCTTTTGTCATTAGCCCAGTGCTTTTCCCTTGGCGTAGACACAGTGGATGCTGATTTTTGCCTTCATCAGCAAAAGTCTTTACCCCAGACACATAACTGGAGATCAGTCTTAGAACAGAGAGCACTAATGCAGGAGAAGGGCATGGGCCCCTTTGATTACTGAACACGCAGGTCACTTGGAAGAGTGGAAGCCTCATCAGAAACCTCCGGATTTGACAGGACATCTGTTTCTAGGAGCACAGTGGGTGTAAACAGAGCAGCTGCCAGCCTCTGTCCTGGTTGGGGTTTTGTGTTTGCTGGTTTTGTTTTTTTTTTTAAAAAAAAACACATTATGCTCTATTAGAACTACCCCTATTTGGCATCAAAAGCATTAATAAATCCCACATAAGGCACAGTCCCTCCAGTGGTTAATCAATCCATAAAAATCTATTTAGCACCTACTGTGTGTCCAGCATTTCAATCCCACGACGTTGATTAAAGCAGGAAGTAAGGAGTCACAGCTGCCAAATTTTCACCACGGCCACCTGCTCTGTGATGTGTCACAAAGGCATTTGCCAATCATGCAATCAGCCATTTACTGAGAACCTGCTTGGTTGCTCAACTCTGTGCTGGCAACTCTCAGGAAGACAGGGAAGGTATAAGGCGGCTTATACACCAATCACTTTTACCCTGCCTATTTTCCAAAAGGTGGTCAAGGTTTCCTATTACAATACTTGGCTCTTGTTCTTGACAAGGGTTAAGGTAATAGCAGTTGTTATCAAGAAATATAACTTAGTGCTCACCTGTGGGGAAGAGACTCTCAAGTGTTGTGGGGTTACAGAGACGATTCCGGATGGCTTCCTGGTGGAGGAAGGTCTAAGAGTGGACCTGAGGAGAAGGCAGTTTCTGTGGGAGGCAGAGGGAGCCCAGACCAGGCAGAGGGGAAGGCAGAGGCCAGGAGGTCGGGGGAGGGAGGATTGCTGGATCGCAGGACTCATTACCATATGATCCTTTCTAAAACGTGACTTGTTAAGTCATTTCCTTTGGGTGAAAGTGAAAGTGTATTTTCTTCCTCCCTCCTCCCCCCACCCCCTGCCCGCCAAATCAGTGAAATATTAGATTCTAGTAGTCAGAATGAAACCAGTGGTGTCTTTTTTTGGCATTCTCAATGGCAAGAATTCAGCACCTTTTTTTAGTACCACTTGTTTGCAGGTGGCAGGAGTGCTAATTAAACGGAGCCACTAACAATTTTCCTGGGTGGCTCTGACTCCCAAACTGACATGAGACACTGCTTGGGCGTTTTGAGAGAGCGGCTTCTGCTCTCTCCATTGGTAATGTGATTCTTCATCCATGGTGTCTGGAGGAATGGACTGAAGAGTTGCTCAGTATATATTTACTGGTTGTTAAATTGTTGACAGTGATTGAAATGTCACTTTCCTTTTTCAGTGTTAAAGAAGGGGCCAGTGTTTCTCTATGACAGATTATTAAAAATAAGACCCAGATGATTGTTAGGATAGATTGCAAGGAAAATTTAGTTTGAATTTTAGAGTGATTTTTTTTTACACTCATTGAAGCATGTTCACTAATGATACAATTCAGGAGACTTTTTTTTTTTTTGAGACAGAATCTCACTCTATCACCCAGGCTGGAGTGCAGTGGCACGATCTTGGCCCACTGCAACCTCTACCTTCCAAGTTCAAGAGATTCTCCTGCCTTAGCCTCCCACGTAGCTGAGACTACAGGTGTGCACCACCACGCCAGCGAATTTTTATTTTTATTTTTTGTAGAGATGAAGTTTCACCATGTTGGCCAGGCTGCTCTCAAACTCCTGACCTCAAGTGATCTGCCTGCCTCTGCCTCCCAAAGCGCTGGGATTACAGGCCTGAGCCACCACGTCTGGCCAAAATTCAGGAGACTTTTGAGAGATGATTGAGCCCCGATAGCTCTTGGCATAAACGTATTTTTAAGCTGTTTTTAAGACAAAAGAGGTAAAGTTCCCACCTACCTCCTGTTCAGCTCTAGAATCCATCAGAGCCACTGTTTCCATCTCCCTCTGGGTTTTCAGTAGGACTTAGGGCCAGTATCAGGCTTGTGATTATGGTCATTTTGGAGCCCCTAGTAGGGCCAGGGGAAGGCCAGTGACCACTCACCCAGCACAAGTGGTGACTGCTCTGCCTTGACTGTCCCCAGGACAAGGGCCCTCCACTGTCCTCTGCCCTCTGCTGGGACCCAGGCAGCCTGAGAGGGAACCCAGTCCACACGGGCTGCACATGGAGCACAGCAGGAGGAGACCGGATAACCTCGTGGAGCCTTGGCAGTGAATCTCATTTTCATCAGCAATTTATTGAACACACCTGGGTCCAGGGCTCTGTCTCCAGAGTTACTGGCAATCACCGTACCCCCACAACTGAAGTAGCCTGTCATGGTCACAAGCAAATGACAGCCTGTCTTCCAAGACACACATTCTCTATTCTCCCTGCAGATGGAAGTGTTGGGGGTCAAGTTTCATGCAGCCTCAGAGTTTGAGATTAACCTTGGTTTACGGTGTGAAGTATCTAATGGTTTCAGCTATTTTGGGTCCTCTGGACTATGTAAATCCGTGTCTCCTCTTCGTGTTCACCCCTACCAGAATCTGTGAAGCTGCACACGTTTTCTGTGCTGAGGGGTCCAGGAGGAAACATCTGTGAGACCACACCTAGTGGAAACATGAACGTCAACAGCATTGCTGAGGCTTCACGCCCAGGGAACAGAGGGTGACAAGGAAGTGATGATTTCACCAGGGTACCTGCTGAATATTTACTGAGGGTCTTAAAAATAGCCTAAAGTCTGTGATACAAGCCACCATCTGGTCCAGGTGTACCTTACTGTAAGAAAATATGATATATGAAAATTCAAAATTGTAAAGCAGAAGGATTTTCTAGTTTGCATCACAAAAGGATGCATGGGCTTCCCTTGAGTGAACCTATTCCCTTAGATACTTAATCTGTGGCTGAATTACTGGAAATTCAGTTCACATCCAACTGGTCAGAAACACACTAATTTATTTTCATTTATTTAAGATGTATCACCTACCTACTTCCAAGAGGCCTTGAGCAACTCACAGGTTAAAACATGGGGCAAAAGAAGCCTTTTAGGAATGAAACAGAACAGACAGGTGATGAGGTAGAGGCCTCAGGCACTCACGATGAATGGTTTGCCACAATTAGGCTCTAAGGAAAATAGTGCAAGTATGCCGGGTTACCTGACTGTATAAAGAAAGGAATATTTCTATCAGGTTATAAAATGTTTTGAATAGTAACTGCTTAAAAATCAGAGACTATTACAAATGGAAGAATGTAGTATTGTTGAGATAAAAGGTTTCTCCTCTAGACTATTGGAAACAAATGCTAACTGTGGAAAAGTAGTAACGCTATAGGCCTGTTATGTTAACATTTTTCACTACTCTCAAACCCTTACAAAATATTTATCAGACAATTTTTGTTAAAAAAATTTCAATCCTTTGTAGATTCATTTATTGCAGATTCAGGGAAATGACTGCAAATCAGACACATCTCCTTTAGGTGGCTGTGAATTTTCCTAGAATGCAATGAGTATTTTCTAGTTAAAGTCTAAACCCTCAATAATGTCGATATGGCTTCAGGACAATTTCAAAATTAGAGAATTCTGGCTAATGTAAAATTTCACTAGATACACCCAGAATTTAAATAGGAGAATAGACAGGTTTAGGAAAGAGTCAGAACAAGACTTGAAATCTAAGATATTTCTATACCAATCTACAGGTAAATTCTTTTTTTTTTTTTTGAGACACAGTTTCACCCTGTGCCCAGCCTAGAGTGCAGTGGTGCGATCTTGGCTCACTGCAACCTCTGCTTCCAGGTACAAGCGATTCTCATGACTCATCCTTCCGAGTAACTGGGATTACACGAGTGTGCCACCACACCCGGCTCATTTTTAGTACAGATGGGGTTTCTCCATGTTGACCAGGTTAATCTGGAACTCCTGGTCTTAAGTGATCCACCTGCCTCGGCCTCCCAAAGTTCTGGGATTATAGGCGTGAGACACTGTGCCTGGCAGTCTACAGGCAAATTCAATTAAACTGAATTTGAGATTTTAAAAGGGTACAGCTATGACTTATCATTATCCTCAAGGCCAGTTTTACTGGGAATCAAAATTGAGGTGTGGCAGTTCATGTGTATGTATTGTTCAAAAGCAATGGAACGTTGAGTTGGGGCGACAGTACATGAAATAATGATGTACGAATGATGACAATGTCAGCAAAAGCAGATATTAGTTCAGCACTTACTATGCAACAGACACGGTTTAAAACTCTATTTTTCTTATTTCTTTTTATTTTAAATATTTAGTAATATTTAAAAATATTACGTATTTTTATATGTAAATATGTACATATTTAAATATGTAATAATTTTCATGCAGACATATAGAAGGAGGGAGTCCGGTTAGATGAAGGCTAAAGCTTCATCTGTCTCAAAACCAGAGTGGAAGTTGAACAGTGCCTTGCTCTAGGAAGCTCCGGGCATTCCTAGATGATGGCTGCATCTTGCATACTGCTAACATCTGACCTAAAGGAGACTGAAAGATAAGATGAGAATGAATGAAAGAAGCCCAACTGTATTAGTCATTTATTGCTGCCTATCAAATTTGCCCAAAACTTAGCAGCTTAAAACAAACAAGATTTATTTCCTCACACTGTCTGAGGGTCAGGAATCCAAGAGCATTGTGGCTCGGTGGTCCTGGCTCCATGTTTCTCACAAAGTTGCAGTCAGACGTCAGCTGAGGCTACAGTCATCTCGAGGCTCTACTGGGGCTGATGGATTCACTGCCAAGTTTACTCGCATGGCTGTTGGCTGGAGGCCTCAGTTCTTTGCCATGTGGCTCTCTTTACAGGGCTACCTGGTTTCTGCCTGAGCAGCAAGTGATGAAGGAGAGTGAGCGTATGAGAGAGCAAGAGAGTGAGCCCAATCGTGGACTGACCACACAGTTGACCCTGGTTGACTGTGAGAAAGGACACAGGCTATGAACACCAGGAGGTGGGGATCATTGGACGCCATCTTGGAGGCTGGCTACCTCAACAATCTTCTTAGATTCCATGATTTCTCGACAATAGAAAGATGACAGGATGTACTTCCCAGATTTCAGGAATTCAGGCTTCTGATGGTCCCCAAGAAATAAGAGGACATGAGACTCCAAAAGAAGAGAGATGGCTCAAGAAGGTGGGAGAACTCCTGGTAAAATTCCAAATGTGTAAATTGCCAGTGCTCTTGAAGAGAAATAGTAAGGTGGGAACAGGTTGCTGATGAGACCAGGGCAGCTCCTGGAGAAGCTCACCTTTGAGTAGAGCTGGCAAAAGGGAACAAGGAGCATAGTGTAGCAGAGTCACACAAACCTAGTTTGCTAATTAGGTCTAATTAATTAAGGCAGTGAAATTGTAAGGATAACAACAACCAAAAAAAGCTTTCTTTTTTTTTTGGCATGGGCAGAAAATCAAGAAAGGAACTTCTCTGTGGCTTCTGTGGAGTCAACTCTTCCTGACTGCCTGACTGCCACGAGGTACCAGGTAAGGTGTAAGGTACAGAGTACACAAAGGAAAGGTCACTGCCCTCAGAGGTCTCCCAGTCAAATGGGAAGGCAAATGCAAAATGCCATTCAGCATAATCAATACCATAATGAGATTCTGGCCAGGAAGGTCAGGGACACGAGGAAAGGCTCTGCAGTGCTACCTGGGGCAGGTGAGTCAGGGATGACCTGGCCGAAGAGATTACACTTGAACTGAGTCTCAAAGGATCAGCAGGAATTCACCAAGTGAACCAAAGGAGAAAGGGCAGAGAAAAAGGAGACACCCAGCACAGAGGCATGAAGTAGCTGGGCAGGCTGGGGGAGCTGCCAGTGTTTTATATGATTAGAGCAAGGTGGAGGAGCAGACAGGGCTGGGGAGGACTGTGGAACCCACTTTGCAAGGCCTTGGGTGCCTGTACTGTGAGTGGACAGGGCGGTGTTGGTCAAAATGGGGTCTTACATCAGAATCTATTGGGAGGTTTGTGAAAATGCAGATTCTTAAGCCTTATCTTATGTCCATATGGGCAGACTGCTCAGCATAACTCTCTTTTCTTCCTGAGCTTGACTACATTTCCCAGCATCCTTTGGAGTGAGACTATCCTTGCAGTTAGACGATTTTCTAGTCTCCTTTGCAGGTAGGTGCACTCATGTGACTGAGATCTAGCCAATAGAATGTGAATGCAGCTAATGCTTGCCATTTCCAGACCTGAGCCATTAAAATTGCCCTGCACCTTCTCCATGCACTTTTCCTTCTCTTTATGTTTTTGCACAGGGATCTTGGAAGCCCCATGTTGAAGGTGGCAGAGCAACAAAAATTGAGGAAGCCCTGAATCCCTGAACTATTATTTGGAGATGACCACCCACTGATCCAGAACACTCATTATTGGGCTTTAGGAGAATGAGAAATTCTGTCATGCTTGAGACTCCGTACATCTTTGGATTTGTTTTAACTGCTAGTTTTACCCTGACTAACATGGCAATTGACAGCCTCTGAGAAGAGATTTGGAGAATCTGCTTTTTTAACAAGTACCCCAGGGGAGTTTGAGAATCACTGCTGAAAGCCAAGGGGAGCCAGTCACCCAAGGATTTAACGCTGACCAAGGAACGCCACGCTATTTGCATTTTAGAATGACAGCAAGGGAGCAGAACTCTGCTCCCTTCTTCCTTGCCAAGGAGAACAATCTATTGACTCAAAAGAAAAAGAAACTTTGGTAAGAGAAAATTGAAGCTCTAGATGAGTAAAAAGATTCTAACAGTACCAAGCTGCCGTAAATGAGCTCAAGTCTCTTGGCCAGGACAAATTACACTCCAGGGAGTAGAGAGAACTCGCCTCTGAAGCTGTAAAGCCTCTGCTGATAATCTTTACAGAACATGGAGACTGTGAAAGAAATTGGAACGCTAGAGATGGCAAAATATAGGTCTGATTAGTAAAGAGGGGGAAAGCTCCTGCAAACTACAGAAGTGGGGCTCTCCTATCCATCCTCATTAAGTTCTCTGATCAGACTACCTAAGGCTGACTTGTGAGCACGTGAAAAATGGAGCAGAATCCTCTAGAAGCCTGTGTGGGTTCTTTAAGAGCAAGCCACGACAAGGTAACTGTGTTCCCAGTTTCGTGGTGGGCTTGCTAGATTATTATGTCAGGGAATTGTGTTAGCTATGGTAGAGACAAAGCACACCTCGGCTTGTCTGTCTGTCAAGGAATCTCATGATAAATTTGTGCATGAGATGAAGTAATTTCAGCTGCAGACCAGCATGCCTGTTAGGTGGATTTAGAACTGTTTTTATGGCCATTCCCAAAGATGCTAGTCAATGTCCTTGCGGAAGTGCATTTCTAGTTGAAGGCACAGTCATTTTCGCATTTGATATTTTTATTAGTGTGTGGACATAGATGACTTAGTTAATACCTGACACATTTGGAGACGACATGCAGAGAATACTTTGGTTGACACACCAGGGCCCAAAGAACAGACTACAGTGCTAAGCTAAATGTAATGATATAAGATGAAACAGGGAAACGGTAGGGTGAGATGCTCCCGTCCAAATAGTCCCTGTGTGAGTGCAGGGCCAAGAGGCAAAATCATCGGCAGAGAGAAAAAAAAACAAGAATCTCAGCTGACAGTAACACGGCACGTTGTTCAGCTGCTCTAAGCCCATTGTGGCCTTGGGTTGAATTGAGGGAAGCATGAAAGAGACGCTCTTGACACCTGGAATGTTGCATTTGGTGGTGAGTTCCCCTTTGTGAGATGCCCGAGAGTGTGGAGACGAAGATGAGCGATGTGTCTCGGGGAGGGAGCTCTGAATCCTGTCATCTGAGAAACATTTAAGGAACTGGAAGAGGTCAGTCTGAAGGTAAGAAAACTCAGAGTTTAGGTATGAAGCCTCTGGGGTTAGCTGAGACCTGCATGAAATGATCCGAAGGCACGTCATTAGCAGAGGGGCCCTGGTTTCCGGAAAGGCCTAGCAGGCAAATTTCAGGTCCACCCCAAAGTGACCCTTCTATACCCATCTCACAGCTTCCTAAAACAGAGGAGCTTCTCGGGGTGAGAGCGCCTGTCAGTGGAGATGACCGAGTGGAGAGAAGAAAGTCCCTTGGAAGAGCTGAAGGCCTCTGATGGGTGTTTGGTCACAAAGGAATCGTTAATGTCCCTCCAGGTATTAGTAGCTACTAGCACTGGCTGCACTTGGAGACATCTTAGAATGTGCTGGGCACTGTGCTAAAGTAGGCTCAAAGCCCCATGTAGTTTTCTTTTGCTCCTGTAGCAAATTACCCCAAAATCTGTGGCTTAAAGCAAATACATGGATTATCTTACAGTTCTGGAAACCAGAGGCCAAAATCGAGGAATCTGCAGGGCTGTGTTCCTTCAGGAGGCTCTAGGAGGCTTCCCTTGCCTTTTCCAGCTGCCAGGAGCTGCCTGCACTCCTTGGCTCTTGGCTCCTTCCTCAGTCTTCAAGGCCAGCAGCAAAGTGTCTTTAACTCTTTCTCTGACCTCTCTTCTGCCGTGGCATTGCTATCTCTGACTCCGAACTGCCTGCCTCCTTCTCAGAAGGACCCTTGTGATTATGCTAGGTCCACCCAGATAGTCTAGGTCCCTCTCTTCATTTAAGCAAATCTGTGAAGTTCCTTTTGCCATATAAGGTAACATATGCACAGCTTTGGGGAATGAGGAAGACAACATCTTTGAGGGGCTGGTATTCTGTCTACCGCAAGTCCTTTGAATCTCACTTCCATTCATTTAATCTCTCATTACCTTGAAGAGTTGGGCATCATTTCCACTGCACAAATAGAGAAACAGAGACACAGAGAAGTTAGGTAAACACACAGCATTGCCATAAAATGGTGAGACTGGGATTCGAATCTGATTGTAACTCTCAAAGCCAGACCCTTAACCACTCAGATGCTATACTGTGTGTGTTATTATTATTATTAGAGTCTATAACTCTAAGCACTAATAATTGCTTTTTTAAATGGTGTTAATTTAGTGGTGACATTATTGCAGCTTGTTTTTTTCCAAAATGTAACATAAGTTAGACACTTCTGGCTAATATGAAATGTAACTGACCTCCCCCTGTTCTGTCCTGAGCATCCTCAGCTAACAGCTTTCTCCCCTCCTGGATTTTGTCACCTTGGGCCTTCTCAGCTACAGGAGTTTGAAGCAGTGTTATTTTCTGAATTTGGATCTGACAATCTTTGTAGACTAAAGGTTACACAGCTGCTAAAGTTTGTTTTTAACCCAAAGTAACAGAGTTGTCAGGGAGAATGTAAAAAGATTCTAGAAATGCAGGTTAAAAACCTACTGATTCTTCCAGGCAGCAGGAACCGCTCTGTGATTATGGCATTTAGGCCCTGGGCAGGCATAGAAAAGCACAGATCCAGTTGAAGCCCCCACTCCTCCTGGAGCTTAGGAGGGCCTATGGAGGTGGGCAGTGAGCAAGTGGCTGGGACAGTGAGTGTGTCCCATCTCTTCGGTGGGCGTCCTTCCAGTGTGCCCAGCCTTGGCCATTTGGAACCACAGAGCACCATCTACCCTCCAGCTGAGGCACAATTCTCTCCGTGCTGGGCTGGACGGGGCTGGGCCCTGGGTCCAAGTTGAGCTGGATGTGGGCTGCTCAAAGCCTATTGGACAGAGCCTCGGGCACAGGTGGAGGGGTCACTGTGACACCAGGAAGAGGTTGCCAGACTCTAGCAGGTGGACGAAAGAGTCCACAGGGTGCAGGACAGGCTTGCCTGGGGTTGGGGGGCTGTGCACTGACTGTGATGCAAGGAATGGCTGGATGGCTGGAGAAAAGGGGAAGGGCCTCCTGTCCACTGGATTCAGATCCTATTCAACTGCAGGGACCACGTTGACCCTCCTGACTGATGCTTCCTCTATGGGCCACACGGTAGTGCCATGGCCTCTTTTATCAGGCCTATGTTATAGGTTTGGTATTGATGGAGCACCTGGATTCTAGAAAGGAAGGAAATGAACATTTTTGAACCTATTCTTTTTGCCAGGCACTGGACCAGGAAGGAGAAAAATGGGGCCCTTTCTGGCCAAGTGCTTTCACTGACTCCAGGTACGAGGAAGAATACAATATGATTCCTGTCCTCAGAGATGGAAAAGTTCGCATGCCTGTGGATACTAGCCTTTACACAGACAACATAAGGACTGAACAGCGTGGTAATTAATGAAGATGAAAGAAGTAGAAAGAGTAACAAGTAATAAGTGAGAATAAGTATTAAACTAAGTACTGACTTTGGGAGTACCCAGGCTCCATTTTTATGCCAAATCTCTGGTGTTAAGGCATAAGAGATACTGTGTCCCCTAAAAGGGGATATGTTCTAAGACATAGCACAAAACAGCAGAAAAAATAACGTTCTGCTGCTGACTTGTGTTCATTGTTCAACTTGTGGGCCACTAGGACTCTTGAATCTTCTTTCCCCATATTTGCATCTAATTAGCATTTGCATAGTTGCTGTCTTTCCCCGAAATGTTTCTTTCCCAACACTCAGTATTGCCATAACAAGATGGGGAAATAGAGGAAATAATTTTTTTTAAACGTTCAATTGATTTCCTTTTTTAAAAAGACACCTTTTTTGAATTATTACATATCATAAAATTCATCTGTTTTGTGTGTGCAACTCAATGAATTTTAGTAAATTTACAGAGGTGTGCAGCCATCACAACCAGTTTTAAAACATTTCCATTACCAGAGAGAATAATTTAGGGGCACAATCCAGTGAGTGTGGGCATATTTAACCCACTTGAGCATGCATTTCTGAAACTGTTGTACTTAAGAAAATCTGTCAGCAAATTTTGAGTTGCTTCATGATATACTTTTGCAAAACAAAGTAAAATGCAGCAGAAGGAAGGATCTCTGTGCCTGAAATCCTGAGAAACCATTATCTATTTTGCAGATCACTTCATTAATAAACAGATTATTACAAAAATAATTATTTTCGAGATGACATGTTTTCTATTGGGACACATAAAAAGTCTTTAAATTTGCTCTTCAAAAAAATCACTTACACCCACAAAACTACTTCAATCAAGAAAGTAAATCTAGGTATGGGAAAACCATGGCAAAAACAGCTTTACCTTTTTGTCTTTAAAATTTAGTGTATTAATTTTCGTTCGGATTCTCTTTTCTCTCCTGATTGTTTGGAGGAAGGATTTCTCTGGTGAAAAGTACCCCGATCTGATGCCTTTGCAAAAGCAGTCACCCCTCTGGCATGAAAGGCACCATTCAATCATCCAAACTCTTAGAGGCGAAGGGTACACTGAATAACGAATGCTCAAATGGTTTCTATCGTATTGTAAATACCCATTTTAGAAAACCCAATAGTCAGAAAGTTGAGAATCTGTTGCTAGCTTCTCTGTTGGGTATTCCACTGCTTTCATGGGTGGATCCTTCTGATATGGCTTCTTAGATGGGGGTCAAATCCCCTTCCTCCTAAAATCCCACACCTTATCCTCCTTATGCTGTAGGTCAACAGATAGAGAGAACTGTCTCTTCCCAAGCGGGAGGGGAATCGTTCTTCCAGTCGAGTATTGGGAAAAACGTGATCCCAGGGTCAAGCTTTTAAAGTGCTCTCAAGTTCTATTATAAGGATATGAAGGGGTAAATATTGTGTTGCTGTTTACTTTTATTAGAAAGACACAGACACCCAGAAACAACCTTGCATCAGAGACTTATTTAATTTTTATTTTATTTTATTTTATTTTTGAGAGAGAGTCTCTCCCTGTCACCCAGGCTGGAGTGCAGTGGCGCAATCTCTGTTCACTGCAACCTCTGCCTCCCGGGCTCAAGCAGTTCTCCTGCCTTAGCCTCCCAGGTAGCTGGGATTACAGGCACCCGCCACTGTGCCTGGCTAATTTTTGTATTTTTAGTAGAGATGGGGTTTTGCTATGTTGGCCAGGCTGGTCTTGAACTCCTGACCTTGGGTGATCAGCCCACCTTGGCCTTTCAAAGTGCTGGATTACAGGTGTGAGCCACTGTGCCTGGACTACTATTTATTTGTAAATTTAAAAGGTTGACATTATCATATATTCAGAAAAGTACACAATTTTAAGAGTACAGCCTGATAAATGTTTACATAGTAGACAAACTCATTTCAAGATAGGTAACATCACCCACATCCCCAAGGCTTCCTATGCTCCTCCCACTCGTTACCTCCACAAAGTAACCGACATCTACCTTTCATCAAAATGGTTTTGTTTCATGAATGGAATCTCACACAGTATTATTTTTTTGTATCTGACTTTTTTCGTTCAACATTAGTGACTGAAATTCATCTATGTTGTTGCCTAGAGGAGTAGTTCAATGTTTACATTGTTGTATAGTATTCCACTGCATGAATACACCATGATATATTTAATGTTTTTACTATTGATGAACATTTGGGTAGCTTCCAGTGTTTTTTAATCTCTTAGAAATAGTTTCCCTAAGAACATTTCAGGGCATATTCAGTATGTCTTGGTAGTCATTTCTCAGATTGAATCACTGGATCATGGCAATGCAACATTCAGCTTTAGTGGATAGGATGATAAAGCCTTTCTAATTCTGGCCAGCTGAGGTGGCTCACGCCTGGAATCCCAGCACTTTGGGAGGCTGAGGCGGGAGGATCACTTGAGTCCAGGAGTTTAAGACAAGCCTGGACAACATAGTGAGAGCTTGTCTTTACTAAAAATAGAACAGAGAAAAATAAAGGCTTTCTAATTCTTGTGTCAATATTTGCAAGTTGTATGTGTGCTTTTTTTAAAAAAAGAAATTGTCTATTTCATCTAAATTGTCAAATTTTGGGGCAGAAAGTTGTTCAGAACATCATCTCATTGCCACTTTGATGCTTGTGTGGATTTTTAGTGATGGCACCTTTTTCATGATTTATATTAGTAGTACATTCGTTCTTTTTTCTTGATCAGTCTTTTGAGAGATTTGCAAATTGTATTAGTTTTTTTCAAAGAACCGATTTTTGGCTCTGTTGATTTTTTTTTCTATTTTATGTTTATTTCATTTTTTGGCTTATATTTTTATCATTTTTTCCTTCTAATTTATTTGTCTTAATTTGCTGTTCTCTATCTCCTAGAAATAGTCACTAGATCAATGATTTTCTCTCATTCTTTTTTTCTTAAAATACATATTTAAGGGTATACATTATTCCTTTAAGCATAGTTTCAACTCTATTCTACAAGTTTTAACATGTTGGTTCTTCATGATTATTCAGTTCAGAATACTTTCTAATTTCCATTAAAATTTTAAATTTCTGATTTGTTGTTTGGAAACATGGCTTATTTAGAACTGTTATTTAGTCATTTTCAAACATTTGGGGATTTAAAGAATGTTTCCTATTAATTTTTACTACATTTTCACTCTTGTAAGAGGACATACTCCGTATGATTTCAGCCCTTTGAAATGTACTGAAATCTGCATCATGACTCAGAATATGATTTATTTTGTTAAATGTTCCACACACACTTGAGAAGAATGTAATCCTGTTATTGCTGGGCTCCGTGTTCTGTATATGTCACTAAGTTCACCCTTGTTTATCATGTTGTTCAAGTCTGTATCTTTACTGATTTATTGTCTGAAAGTTTATTCTATCAGTTGCTGAAAGATGTATTTGAAATCTTCAACTATGATAATGGATGTGTTTTTACTTTTACTTTTGTCAGTTTTTGCTTTGCACGTGTTAGGTTTTCTTTTTAGGTGCATACAAACTTCAGATTATCAAATCTTCCCGCTGAATTGACTTTTTGTCGTTATGAAATGCTCCTCTTTATCTCTGGAGATACTTCTTGCCTTACAGTCTTGCTTTGTCTGATATCGGGATAGCTAAGCCAGCTTTCTTTTGGTTAGTGTTTTCATGGCAAATTGTTTCTGTTTCTGTCTGTTGTAAGTAACATATAGCTGAGTCTTCTTGTTTTGTTTGGTTTTTCTAGTCTGGCAATCTTTTTACTTTAATGGATTATTGAGTCTAGTTAAATTTTAATACATTCCTGATATTTTTGGTGTTCATTCTGTGATTTTATTATTTGTTTTATATTTGTTCTATCTAGTTTTGTTCCCTTTTTCTCTTTGCAGCCTTCTTTTAATTGTTTTTTATTGTTCTATTTCCTCCCTCTATTAGTTTGTTAGTTATACATTCTTTTATTATTTATTCAGTATTACCCAGAGTGGGGGCTGATGAACTTCTTCTGTAAAGGGTTAAATAGTAAATATTGGCCAGGCGCGGTGGCTCACGCCTGTAATCCCAGCACTTTGGGAGGCCGAGGTGGGCGGATCACAAGGTCAGGAGATCAAGACCATCCTGGCCAACATGGTGAAACCTCGTCTCTACTAAAAATATAAAAATCAGCTAGGTGTGGTGGTGCACACCTCTAGTCCCAGCTACCCAAGAGGCTGAGGCAGGAGAATCACTTGAACCCAGTAGGCCGAGATTGTAATAAGCCGAGATCGTGCCACTGAACTCCAGCCTGGTGACAGAGCGAGACTCCATCTCAAAAAAAAAAAAAAAAAAAAAAAAAAGTAAATATTTTAGGCTTTGAGCACCACCTTCAGTCTGTGACTTTCCTTCTTCTTCCCAATCCTTCTCCTCCTCCTCCTTTTCTTCCTTCTCTTCCTACCCCCACTATTCTTTAAAAATATGAAAAACATTCTTAGCTCTTCAACTGTACAAAACAGGCTCTGGGTTTGATTTTGGCAATGGTGACAGTTTAACAACCTGTACTAGAGATTTACCATACGTCTTAACAGAATCTACCCTTCAATTAATAATTTCACCACTTTCTGGGCAATACAGGAACCTTACACAACTTTAATTCCATTTACCTAGCTCTCTTCTTCTGTTATGCTAGTTTGGTCATGCTTTTTTTTCTCTACGTATTTGAAATCCTATAAGACATTCTTATGTTTATTGTTTGAAATAGACTATGTGCATTTCAGTGTACTCTCGTATGTACCATTTCTTGCTCTCTATTGCTTTCTGCATTGCCGTTCTTCTAACTTAGATTGTTTTGTCTGAGTAAACTCCCTTTAAAGTATTTTTTTAGTGTGTCTATGTTGACAACATTTTGTTTTAATTAAAAAAATGTCAATAGCTGTTGGAGTACAAGTGGTTTTTGGTTACATGGGTGAGTTATACAGTGGTGAATTCTGAGATTTTAGTGTACCAGTCACCCTAGTCGTGTACATTGTACCTAATGTGTATTTTTAAAAAATTCCTGGTCTCCTTCCCATCCTCCCCCTTCTGAGACTCTGAAGTCCATTATATCATTCTGTATGCCTTTGCATACTCATAGCTTAGCTCCCACTTATAAGTGAGAACATATGTATTTGGTTTTCCACTCCTGTGTTACTCCACCTAGAATAACAGCCTTCAGCTCCATCCAAGTTGCTGCTAAATAAGTTATTTTGTTCCTTTTAATGACTGTGTAGTAATCCGTGGTGTGTATATACACCACATTTTCTTTATCCACTCATTGACAACACATTCACTCAGTTTTTATTCACCTGAGATATTTGTTAACCTTCATTTGTAAGGGTATTTTCACTGGATGTAGAATTCTAGACTACCAGTTATCTAATTTTGGCGTTTATCTTCATTCTTCTCTTGTCTTCTGGCTTTCATTGCTTGTGTGGAGTAGGTCTTGTGGCTCCTTAATGTATCTTGTTTTTCACCTCCTATGGCTATTTAAAATTTTTCTCTTGTCTTTGATTTTTTTGGAGCTCTACTCTAATGTGCCTTTGTATAGTTTTTTTGTTTTGTTTTGTTTTTCTGTGGTTGAATTTTGTTCGAGCTCCTTGAATCTGTATATTAATGTAATTCTTGGGTTTTATCTCCTCAGACATGGCTTCTGTCCATTTCTCTCTTCTCTGCTTCTTGAGCTTAAATTCCATTTATGTTGGTTCTTTTCATTGTGTCCCACATCTTTCTTATGCTTCTCTCTCTCTCTCTCTGTGTCTCTCTCCTTCTCTGTACATACATATGTGTTTAGTCTTTTTTCCTTCTGCTTTAATTTGGTTATTTTTCTACTGACCTAATTGCTAATTTACTAATCCTTTCTTCTGCTGTTAAATCCATCTATTGAATTTCTTTCTTTCTTTCTTCTTTCTTTCTGTCTGTCTGTCTGTCTGTCTTTCTTTCTCCTTCCTTCCTTCCTTCCTTCCTTCCTTCCTTCCTCCCTCCCTCCCTCCTTCTCTCCCTCCCTCCCTCGCTTCTCTCTCTCGCTCTCTCTCTGTCTTTCTCTCTCT